CCCGATTACCCTCGATAAGGTTATCTTCGATAGGCCCGAGGTAGGCTCGAGGCCTTGCCCCGAGGTATCTACTGGCTTGTCCTAAGCCCGGGAACAACCCTTACTGGTTCGATTATCGTTTTGGCCAGCTCGATCTTCATTATTTTACTTCACGTTTAGCACTGCTCACCCTCTCAAACTAGCTCGGGAATAGATCACGTATTTTTAGAATCCCATTTTACAAATTTAATTGTTGTTACCATTTTCACGGTAAAAACTCTACTTTCATTTCCGATGCACCTACACATAAAATAACCTCCATTACGCTCAAAAAAAGTGTATTTTAATATTAAAGCATTTAAAATGCAAAGCATATAATGTGCAAAAACCATGAATTATAGCCACACATCAATACCCCACACTTAAACATTGCTCGTCCTCGATCAATCAAACTACACTTATAGACACGACCTTTTTAAACAATTCTCCTAACTCATCACACCAAGAATCTTTAAAATAGACTAACGCACAAGGGTGTAACATCTCCACCTCAAGATTTGACTCGCAAGTACCATGCACTATTCACCACTCACTCACTTACTCTAATCATAGAGGTCAATGACATTACCTTTCCTTCATGAATCAAGTGACCTCACAATACAAAAGAGAGTAGTTCCACACACACAATAAATTTAAGAACAATTAGGAACTCAAGATAGAAAGAATTCACTCCCTCTCAGAAATAACACTCATATGCCACAAAAGATGCACCATAGGCTTGCCCGTAGTGTACTACTCTACTAATCGAGCTCATTCAGTCCAGGATCAAGTAGGACTTAATTTGGTTGTAATGTAGTCTACGGGTCGGGTAGGATACATTTGGATATAAAAGTGACTACACCTCCCTAAGCACTTTAATACATGTACTTTAACATTCAAGCCCATACTTATGTCAAACCAAAACTTCACCTTCACATCAATGTATATTACCCCATACTTCTTAAAGCACACTTACATCACGAGTCACCACTTAGCAAGGAATTTTTTTTTCCACAACAATACAACTATTTTTTTTTTCAATTCAAGTGGCTCTTACTTTTTTTCAACACAATGCACCTTTCTCCTTAGTTCATTAGTTCCACTCAAAAGCCAAACCAACCACCCCACACTTAACTTTACAAGTTCATAACAATTCAAGTGCTCAAGAGAGGTGACAAGGTTCAAATAGATGGTTAATTCAATCAAATGGGTAAGGCTTGTAATGTGGTTGCCAAAGAAACAGGATTACAGGCTCAAAGGGGTTAACTAAGTTACATAACAATTAGGCGGGTAAAATATACATATCTGGCTCAACAAAGAAACGCCTATATCACTTCCAAGACTGAACAAAACTACTATTTCGCTTTGCAAACACACGGGGCAAGTTGTAGACATCAAATGCAATGCACAAAATAACACAAAACCTTACACACACATGGCACATAACTCACTCAGGATTGGACTCATCAAGATACTCTAGTTAAAGCAGTTATGCAAAGTTAAGATCATACGATTTAAGGTACTTATACAAGAGTCAAAAATTGAGCCTAAGCGTCACAACCAAAGTACTAAATATTCTCAAGGCATAACAAAGTTAAGAGATATCGCTGCAATTCAATTCATCTCACACTAGCTCCTACTCACTAAAAAAAACTAACTACACCCGGTTCAAACAAAATCCTTGGAAAAGAACCGCGACACTAAGAGAAACCAAAGGGGAATTACTGCACTACCTACAAAGAAAATCTTTTTATCCTTTTTTTAGACTTGATCCCTCAAGAAAATTGTCTAATATATCCATCGTCGGGAACATTCCAATCCTTTTATTTTAAAACAAAAGCATTATTCAATTAAACTAACACAGCTAAAATAGCGTAGAAAGTCACCCAGACAATCCCAACACCCCACACTTAAAATTGTGCATTGTCCCCAATGCACACCATAACTAATAAAAGGGTAAAAGAAACTCCCTGGTAGGCCAAAGGCCGAAGCACTAGCAGCTCATGGGGTACTCAGACTTCTCCCAAGCTTGGTCCTTCGTGCGGGTACTCACACTTAGTTCCAACCATCTGGTTTGCTGTTGCATCCTTCCAATAGCTTTGCTTTCCATGCTCCTAGAAAATCAAAAATCGACATTACAAAAATAAAATAATTAAAAAAATAAATAAAAAATAAAATAAAAGAAAGCAGTAAAGCTGGGTTGCCTCCCAACAAGCGCTTGACTTAATGTCGCGGCACGACGCGAATCACTTTCTGCCTCCACATTGAACTTATAAAGTTGACCCCAAGTTTTGATTCTGCTCTGTGATCATGCTCCTAGGGTGGTAGAACGAATCTGACTGGCCCAATAAAATAATATAGTATTCTGCCCTTCTTGGCCTTTGGATGAGATGTGTATTCCTGACTTTCTGGCACGAAGAATTCCAGAACGTAGGCATCTTGTTCCGTACTCCTTGACTCCTCAAGTGGCTCAGACGACTCTATTTCCATATCATCATCCAAACACAATGTAGAAAAATGCTTGGAGTATGGACCAATGCGCTCAACTACATGAACATTGGGATTGTCCACATCTTTGGTATCAATGACACTAGAGTCAACTAAATATGTATCCTCAATATCCTTTGTTGACTCTAGTATCTCTTCTACGACATCGGCATCCTTAAAATCTAGTTCGATTGATTGTTGGTGTTCTGCTCTGGCCTTCTCCTCTAGCTCATCCCCGTATTTTTTTAAATTTTCCAGTATAATAGCAATTTCTGCAGCCAATTCATGCTCATATTGGCTACTATCCACAATATCAACTTGTTGCGCTTTACAAGGTTCAATTAATTATTCGCTTGAGCCTCCAAATTGTGAATAGTTGCCTCTTACCTTTGTATCTGCAGTAATTTCTCATCATGTTGTTCCATGAAGCCCTTTAACATATCTTTGATCTCCTTTAGGTCAGCTCTCCTAGCTTTTTTGTTCCTGTTATCCTCACAAGAAAAAGAAGAACCATCAAAGTAAGGGGTTGGGGGAAGATAAGAATTATAAGCACAACCAAGAAAGTGACCTTCTTGACCACCACACATATCACACATGTTCCACACATAAGATTGAGTTGGTGCACACAACTCTCTCTCGGGAATATTTTGTTAATTTTGCCATGGGTAGTTTCCTCCACAATATGCATAAGGAGGATCAAAAGTAGAATTACCAACATTAAAAATCTCATAATTCCAAGATGCCATATTTTTAAAATCAACAAATAAAACAAAAAAAATCAAATACAAAAAATAAAAATAAAAGTTCAAACTTGAAACCTAGCGATATGTACACCTACAGCTATACCGTTAGTTCCCCTGAAACGACACCAAAATTTGATCACGCCTAACTATTCCGTATAAAAAGGACTAAACGATCGTTGCAAATCTAATCCAGTTTACAAGTCCGGAGTCGAATCACACAGAGAACTAAGGCTTAGCCACAGATGTTCAATATCACCAAGAAGACAAGCTTGAACAATTTATAACTTATAGATATTATGATTCTTGTGTTTAACTAATAAACTAACAAATTAAAATAGTAAATTAACAACTAAAGATACTAAAGGTCAGAGACAAGATTAAGGAGGTCTAGAGTTATGATTTCCCCTATTGTAGGAATCCTTCCCGTTACATTTTCTATAGATTCGCCTAAGTATTCTCTACCGATCATGAGCGCTGACTATCGTAACTCCTTCCCGAGTAATTACCATAATTTACTAGACATATTCTCCCGAAGTACGCTAGCTGGCGTTCAGTACGGCTCATTCGGATCGCACCCAAGGTTTCGTTATCCCTAATCCCACCTTTAAACCCTCCGTATTGATCCCTCATATACGTTAGGAGTGATGTTGTTCAACAACTGCCTAAATATGCACTCTCTCCCGAATAATACACACTAAATAGGCACAGTCGATTGAGAGCTCTTCAACCAACCACAATAATAACGTAGTTGAACAAATAGAGAAAATAATGCAGTACATCTATATTAATGTAACAAGAAAATCATCCTCCAATAGGTTCTATCAAAACCCTAGATAACAAATTAGCTATTCATAATAGTATGCAAAACTACAATACTAGAATTCATAACCAATAATAAAAATAGGAAGAAGGAAGTGAAAAACTCGTAGAAGAATTTTCCACCTTGCTCGTAGTGTGTTCTTGCCTCCTTAGGTCTAATCTCCGGCCTCCACGACGGCTCCGTGCTCTCCCTAGGTCTAAATTGTATCCAAACTCGATCCCCTCTCTCCGTTTGTCTCGAGTCTTTCAAAGTGGCATTTTTAGGTCTATTTATATGTTTGGGACAAGCCCTAAACGTGTAGGTCAACTCCTAGTCAAACCGCAAAACAATAAAAACCTTCAAAACTTGGACTGGGCCTGGCCTTAGGCCGGCTTTAAGCTGGCCTTGCTTTGATAAAGCCTGGATAGGCCTGGCTTTAAGCTGGCCTCACCTGGATAAAGCCTGGTTACTCCTAGCTTTAAGCTGGCCTCACCTGAATAAAGCCTGGTCGAGCTGGCTTTTGTCCAGCTTCTCCTTTTCACCGTTCTCGAGCGCCCTTTCGACATTTGAGCATCCCTTTAGCTCTACTTTCATTTCCGATACACTTACACATAAAATAGCCTCCATTACGCTTATACAAAGTGTATTTTAACATTAAAGCATGTAAAACGTAAAGCATATAATGTGCAAAAACCATGAATTATAGCCACAAATCAGTTCTCTCTACTAACTTAATGTAAGCTGCTTTCTTGGCTTCCACTTTACCTTGGACCACGTCATTCCACCACCAGTTGCCTCGGTGCCCGCCAGAGTAACCTTTCAAAACTCCCAACACCTCTCTTACTGCCTCCCTTATACAGTTCGCCGTTGCCGTCCACATAGAGCTAGCATCCCCACCACTCTTCCAGGAAACCATATTCGCCAGCCGCCCCTCCAACTCCTGTGCATTATCCTTAGACAAAGCTCCCTACCTGATCCTCGACTGACCCCGTACAAATCTCTTCTTCATCTTCATCAAGATACTGACGTCCATCACCAGGAGCCTATGTTGAGTTGCGAGGTTCTCACTCAGGATCACCTTGATATCCTCGCACAACCCCCTATCACACCTCCTCAGGAAGAGATAGTTAATCTGAGTCTAAGCCACTATACTCCAAAAAGTAACCAAATGTTCCCCCCTCTTCGGAAATATAGATTTCATGATCACCAACTCAAAAGCTCTAGCGAAATCCAACAGTGAGTTACCACCCCCGTTCCTATCACCAATGTCGAAGCCACCGTGCACCTCACCATAGCCACCAGCAGACAACCCAATATTACTATTGAAATCCCCTTCTATGAATAGCTTCTCCGTAGGCGGAATAACCTGTACCACCTCATACAGCGCCTCCCAGAAGCGCCTCTTAACCTCCTCGTCCAAGCCTATTTGCGGCGCGTAAGCGCTAATGACATTCAGAGTGCTCCCTCCAACTACTACTTTTCGCCATCAACCTATCATTCACCCGTCTGACCTCTACCACCGACTCTCTAAGCTCCCTATCCACCAAAATGCCCACTCCGTTCTTGCCCTTCACGACTCCGGAGAACCATAATTTATACCCGTCTATATTACTCGCCTTCGATCCTACCCACCTACTATCATGCACACACGCTATATTGACCCTCCTCTTTTGGAGAATCTTTGCCCGCTCTATAGACATACCCGTCAACGTCCTTATATTCCACGATCCAATTCTCAACCTACAGGCTACCTTGTTCCCTTTACCCCCTTTGAGCCCCGTCCCACCCCCTGACCCTTGCTCTACCCCCTCCCCACTACCCGACCTCCCTGAGCTCCTCGACCTCCCCGAGGATATGACCCTACTCTGCCATTACAGACCACAGTCTCTATGCCTACGAAGGTCCAAAAATGAAAAGGAGAAAAAGCACCACACAGAACAACAATGGGAGCAAATAGTAACTAAAAGACCACTAGACTGACTATACTAGTATGAAATACTACGACAACAAAGTAATTAACACAGGAGACAGAGAAACAGGAGGTGGGAGGTACCAATTCCCGCAAATAGAACCTGGAACTCTCGACTTGGTATACTCCCGATGTGCGGAACCCAGCGTATAGCTGCTACGCTACTGCTTGAGAAATATTACTGTATGAGTGTTACGGGGATAAAAGAAAGTGCCACTAGGAAGGCAGCCAAAATATCAGTTCCGAAGCAACCCTACAACCACAAGGGCACGGAGGTAGTAACTACAGATAATTATAGGTAAGGAAGGACATCAAAATATCCGTAATAAGCTTGCAGCTTTACAAGAGTCAGAGGGTCCACCCTAAGTATTACAATGAAAGACTAGCTAAGGAAATAAAGAAGAAGCCTGCAACCTAAGCACAGTGACCGAAAGAGGAAATGGTCTTGTAACAACAGCCTCACAACAACATCGTATTCACTCCATAAGAAAGTGGCACCTATCGAAGCTAATGAGCGGGAAATGAAACCAAAAGTAATATTGGAGATCATATGAGTTGCACGAAATTCCGGCATGTGTGGGAACTAAGGTAAGCTAAGTAGGCACGCAACAAGGAGGCAGAAAGACCAGGAAAAGTAATAGCTTACGTTTAAAGGAAGCCGAGAAGGAACAGAAGGAATTATTCGATCTATGATCCAGAGTTAGTTACGTTATGAACGCACTTAAGAGTTCGGAGTATTATCCATGCAGCATATATGTTGATAGTCATGCAGCGGTAGAAGACTCCCGTATAAGATAAAAGAAAGAATTGAGTCCAGATCATAGACAAAGGGTTGAATCGTTAGAAGATTGTACCCTGAATATTCCATAGCGTCCATGAAAGACTAAAGTAATACCATGAGTCACAGATCGGAAGATAGCTTAAGCCAACATAAAGGTTGATCAGAGGGAAGAAGAAACTAAAGAGTTACATCAAGTAAATTAGGAATCTGATTATTGGACTCACAAAATTATAAACCTCGTGTGAGAACATTGTAGTATTACTCTTAATATCCGAGGTACAAGAGGGATAGTACAGTCGCCATATTCTATAACGGCCCTATGTTAAGTTTAGCCAGTTAGAATAGTACTAGCCGCATAAAAAGTCAGCATGAAGCTCCCACCGGCTTGTACAGGCACCACAGGTGCAAGTATTATAATAGAGCTTTGAATGGTGGATGTGATTTATACCTAGGTGGGAGGGAGGATATGAAAAAGAGATAGAAAAATATGAGGTGATATTTTAAAGTAACTAAGGTAAAGGTAAACAACGTACGAAATACTCAAGTATAGAAGGATGAGAGTGGTCCATACTTCAGGTAAAAGACTAGAAACACTGGGATTCAGTATCTAGAAATGATAGCAGCATCGTCAGTAGCATACCTTCCAGCCTATGGTTTTTAAGTATCGAACGGTCTAATTAGAGAGTAAAAGAAGAGTTAGAGACGATGTGATGTCTCGCTTGATGTTCCAGAAAAGCATAAGGGGATCAATCGCAAGCTAAAGTATGATAGAACGACAAGGTTTTAGAAGGACATGAGTAAGGATAAGAAGAAGGCAAGTGAGAAGGTGACAAAAATGGATAAGTCCTTGCGACTAAGCCCGTGAAAACAAAGGAGCTAATTGTTCCTCTAAGTTATAGAAAGCTCAATATAGCCTGAATGAACTCAAAGGAGTTACTCATCATAAGTAGCATTTAAAAGAGATGGAATGCTGATCCGACAGTAGAATAAGGATGTTATTGTGGTAGATAAAGGATGACGTTTGGGCCTTCGATTAAGTAATGATTTGAAGAAAGGGATTCATGAATTGTACGGGATTAATTTACCCACGTAAGGTGAATCAACAATGGATGGACAAAAGTCACAAATTATGAGATGAGATTAGATCTTCATTCTTAAGATGAACAGTAATGAGGGAGCATTAAAGGACATAGATTTATACATATAGGATAAGCAACGAGAGTAACCTAGAGTTTCAAAGCAAACCTCAGTAATGATAAATCAAAGTGAGTTAAGGCAGTAAAGTCATATGGATAGATAAACGGATCTAGGAAATAAGGTATAACAATATTCATAAGTTCAAAAAAGCACCGAGCGATGAACTTCAGTAGCTGGAGAAAAAAGGGGAGAAGAGTCCCATAGGCGCACTTACAAGGTCAAAGTCGTACAGGCTGCATGATAGAAGGTAACAACAGTTTCGAGATCGGAAGGATTCCGACCATAGGTCATGGTGTGAGAAAGAGGGCTAAAGGGGGGAATGCCCTGGCCTTTGGATTTATTCACATAAGAGATGCCTAAATGGCAAGGAGAGTATTAAGGTATTCCAAAGAGCTATAGGTTATGAAAATCATAGGAGCATCAGTCAACATTCGAGGACGAATGTTCCAAAGGGGGGAATGATGTTACGTCCCGCAATATGACGCCTCACAATATTACATTACGATGATGTTACGCTTTGCAGTATTAAATTAGGACGATGTTGTACCCAGTAGTATTATACGTTAAATCTGTCGCAAGGTAATTGTCATCAGACCAAGGAAAAGATTATTTGGAGATTAAAAGGATTATGCTATTTCAAACAAGTGATGAGTAAATTCGTGAAGGTGAGAGGGGAAGCAAGTCAAAGAAAATGAATTTTCGTCCAAGTTTGGCATGTTGGGATAAAATACGGGCCGAGCGTTAATACCTGATATTTATTGACTAGTACCATACAAGGTACCATATGATCATGATAGTATAATATATAAAAGGGTATATTAAAAATAAGTAGAATTTAAAGTAAATTGAGATAATTCTTAATTATACGGGTAATTGGTTAATTACCGGGTAACGGCATATTACCTAATTAATTAGTAAATTAGTGGATAAAGACAAAATCCCCCCCCCCCCCAACGTGGCAGCAAAGAGCTAACCAAACAAATGACTAAGGGTCATTTGGGATTAAGTGGCAATCTAATATAGTGACTACAAGACACCTCATTATTAGGATTTTAAATACAAATATTTTCCTAAGACACTTAAGAATCTTTCCTAACATGGCAACCTAAGACAATTTCCTTCTTAACATTTTCAATACAATCAGATGTAAAGCTATTGCAAAGATTAATAACGTGACTTCTAAAAATCCTACAAAATTCCTTCCAATTTCCTACAACTAACATTAGCAACGTGATTTCTTCAACCATTTCCTACAAAAGAAAATCCAATGAGAATTTTTAGAGTCTTAGCAACGGAGAAATTTTGCTGTTCTAAAGAAGTACGGTGCAACCTTTTCCAAGAATATCATACGGATTTTTCCCTACTCTAGGTATGCTAAGGCTTCCCTTTCTTTCTTTTGGCATGATCTATACGACACAAACGAAACAACCAAATGCACAATTTTCATAAATGACTATATTCATAGAAATACTAGAGATGCTTATGTTCTCGATTTTCCATGTGTCATATTATTCTATCATCTATTCATGGGTTTCAGAAAATATGTAAGTTGATAAAGTTTATTCCATGATATTAATCAAAGGCATAATGGTCTTATGACGTTCCGAAAGTTTTATTGACGTACTTCTCATGCATTGCATTAATTTACACATGCACATTGACCCATGACCAAATGGCGTTATATATGCATATATATAATATGGGAAAAGGTTACGGCATTATATATGCACCACCACCTGATCAGCTGGTATACGTTGATGATTTTTCCCACAATGGCCGAGATGATATGATGGGATGCCCTCAGAGGTTTGATGATGTTATGAATACATGTACCTATGCACGACATGACTACGCATATGCATGACACTATAAGTATCTGATGATTTACAGGGTTGTCCAGACTTACAGGTTGAGTCATGTACTCTATATTTCTTCCATGTATTTTATGTACTTATTTATGTGCCTTACATACTCGTTACATTATTCGTATTGATGTCCCTTTTGCCTGGGGACGCTGTGTTTCATGCCCGCAGGTCCCGATAGACAGGTCGAGAGCCCTTCAAGTAGGCTATCAGCTCAGCGGGAGATGTTGGTGCGCTCCATTTGCTCTGGAGTTGCTTGCTTGGTCAGTCTGATTTAGATGCGTATTTTTTGGTATGTCGGGGCCCTGTCCCGACCTTTATGATAAGTATGTGCTCTTAGAGGCTTGTAGACAGATATTATGTATATGGATACTTGTACGGCCTTGCCGGCCTATGTTTTGACTATATAAAGAATCATGCTGGCCTTATAGGCCCGCACGTCATATGTATGAGTTTGGATTACATGTTGGGTCATCCAATGTCGAGTATTTTCTCCATGTTTTATTATACCCATATCACGACAGCCTCTCTGTCTCATTTAACTATGATAGTATGATACGAAATATATGTTACGTAGGTACTCGGTTGAGTAAGGCACCAGGTGCCTGTCGCGGCCCATCGGTTTGGGTCGTGCTATTTCTGCAGCCGCACAATTCCATCTGCGGTTGCACTTTGGCTAGGCTCCAATATTGGTCATTTTGCATCTTCTCTAAACTTTTGAAATCTTGTCGGTGCGACCAGGTTTTGCGACTGCACAATTTGATGTGCGGAGCGCACTTGTTAGAAATCCTCTGTGGTTCAGGTATCATCTCTGCGGCCATAGATGTATTTCTACGGACCACAATTTCTTCTGCGACACAATTTGATGTGCGGACCGCACTTGTTAGAAAT